AATTTGCAGAAAAAAAAATGTTATCACAATTTGACGCGACCGTGCACCAAACGATATATTTCTGAAGAACAACAAAGAATGATATCTATATAGCTAAAGATAATTACGAGTCTGAACACAGTACAAAGGAGTTTACCCAGGCTACCCAACCTAGGCGTTGTGAGGGAAGTATGACATGATATAATATTGTATTATATATTACACTGCAAACAGTAAAACTAATACTGTATTCACTATAATTATACAGAATATAGTAAAACAATTTATCACTGTAACATACCCTATTTTATGTGAGTGAGTCTGTGTATGTACTGTAGAGGTCAAAAAAGAAAAAAAAAAAAGAAAGAGCGAAGAATTGTAGCCAAACAAGCAAGCAGTAAATCTAAGCGACCAAACTGATCGTTTAATTGATGCTGATTACTGACAGCTCTTATGCTTAGATTCTATAAATATTAATGGCTTGATAGGACTACTCGATGACTAGGTACTGACCTAAGCCAAACAATTTGGACAACTGCTTAGCCGTTGTGCAGAGCAAAGGTAAACAATAGAAGGTCTGCTTTATCTGTCGGAAATGACCATCAAAAATGTTGGGACAAGAACCGATTTCCATAATTATTATTTAGGCATTAGTTATTTGTGTTTATTTTTATAAATGTGTACCTGTCATCCAACATCTTCAACTATATCCTCCTTTTAAATTTTATTCGTCGCAAATAATTTCATTTTTACAAAAATATATTCTTTATTTCATTTTTTTTTTTGACATAATAAATTGGTTACAACAAAGCTCTTCTCTTCGATTAGCCTCAAAGCCGATACACATATACAGGTATGTTTGAAAATGTCAAAATTCTGCTATGCAGTTCAATACTGCCCTTAATGCTGTTATTTGAAAAGCAATAAAGAAAAAATAAAAGCTATTTTTTTCAAACTGAATAAAAAGCAAATAAAATCAACAATCCCCTACTTTCCAATCCTCTGTTTTGAAACAACAACCTAAAATTAAACTATCCCCTTTTCCCAAAATGAATTAAAAAAAAAAGCAAAAGAAAAGTACCACAACCAAACATTGAAAGCGAAGAAAAAGATATATAAAATCGACGACTGAGAGGTAGCAAAGTACTACTTTGTGTTTTAGATCCAAAATCTTTTTTCAAAGCAAGCAATAACTATCATCAATACGTATTATACAACTGCTTTTCATTGAATCCTCCTCCTCCTCCTCCTTCTCCTCCCCCCCCC